GAGGGTGGGACCCTTAATCCCAGGTATAAAGTAACAGGTGAGCCTGAAAAGTCACTCGAAGGTCCAGAGCAGGGGTCCTCAAACGTTTTAAACAGGGGGCCAGTTCACTGTCCCTCAGACCGTTGGAGGGCCGGACTATAGTTTAAAAAAAACTATGAACAAATTCCTATGCACACTGCACATATCTTATTTTGAAGTAAAAAAACAAAACTGGAACAAATACAATATTTGTATTTGCATGTGGCCCGCGGGCCGTAGTTTGAGGACCCCTGGTCCAGAGTTTACCTGGCTCCTCCACCCCACTGCCCTGCTGACCTCCGTAGGTGCTCTCATCCACTTCTGAGCCCTCGAAGGGCTCTGTTATCTGTAGAGCCATGCCCGTAATATAGAGAGTGCGCCGAGAAATACAGGAGAGGCAGCGAGTCCCACCTGGCGATGCTGCCCAGCCCACGTTTAGTCTAGATTTGTGTTTTTCACGTCCATGCTGCCAGTCACTCGTGTAAACCTGGCTAACATCTTTTAACTTTTGAGACGGATTGCGTAATTTCTCTGCTCCCTCTCAGAGCGCAGTATGTGTATAAAGGTCTCCCCAAACCACTGAATGATTAACAGTGACTTGGACTGCTTAACAAGGTCAGACTAAAGCATTGACCTCTGTTTTGTAGGTAAGAGGCTAAGACGCCAGTGAAGAGATTTCTCAAGGAAAGAAACTGTACAAAGAAACTGAAGTAGAGACTTGCAGGATCAGAGGTTTTTTTTTTTTCTCTTTTCTTTTTTTCTATTAAGGGTCACTGACAAAGGGGGGAAAATACATGTAGGTAAAAAGCAACTTAATGGAGTGTTTTATTTTGAGAGATCCCACACCTCCTGGGATAATTGCAGGATTATGACCTTTGACCCCAGGTAGACATGGGTGCAGCACCCCTCAAACCCCGCCCCCCTCCTGCTGTTGTGTAGCCTCAGCACCCTACGCTCTCTATGGCTCAGTCTCCTCATCAGAAATAAAAGGCCATTCTGTTTATCTCAGATTGTTCTGAGGATTAAATTAGATACAATTTGTGAAAGCTAGTGCCTAGGAGGCACTCGACAAAGGCAAAAGTTTCTCTTCCTTCTTTCTCTTCTGCTTTTGAAAATTAAGATGTGGGCATACGATCAACGAATAAAATAAAGCACATTTCAGTGTGGAATTTGGAGAAAGGCCAGAGAAGAGAGCAAACAGACGCGGGAACCAACCAGAAGCGGGCAGGTTCACCAGCTCGGCAAATCCCGCAGTCTGTGGAAGGTGTTGGTTCACAAACCAAATAAAATATTTTTTAGATCAACAAAAAAGAAAAGAAGGCTGATAAAAACATCATCAGAGTCTGTTAGCCGAATATTTCAGGCTCCATCTGGAGACTGGAAGCCCAGGAATTTTGGAAATAGGACTTTTTCTTAATTTTCAGAGGTAGAAACCTCAAACTTCCTGTTGTGGAAAGTGGGGGTGGCTACTGGTTTTTTTGGTCTAGAAAAAGGTTGTTTCTTTTCTCTGGATGGATGCTGCCCTCTGATGTCTCTCAGCGGTACTGCGGCCTCACCTCTAGCTCTTGGATGGATGCTGCCCTCTGATGTCTCTCAGCGGTACTGCGGCCTCACCTCTAGCTCTTGGTCCACGGAATTAAATGGAGAGTCAGAGGTTCTTTTTTTCTTTTTCTTTTTTAAATATATTTTATTGATTTTTTACAGAGAGGAAGGGAGAGGGATAGAGAGTTAGAAACATCGATCAGCTGCCTCCTGTACACCTCCTACTAAGGATGTGCCTGCAACCAAGGTACATGCCCTTGACCGGAATCGAACCTGGGACCTTTCAGTCCACAGGCTGATGCTCTATCCACTGATCCAAACCAGTTAGGACAAGTTAGAGGTTCTTGTTTCTGTCTTGAGGCTACAAGGATGAAGGGCGGTGAGTGGGTTGTAAAAACCGAGTTCGTTGGATGTACATTTTTTTGGCCAAGAATTTGCTTCTCACATTCTCCTCCCTTTTCATGATAATAAAGCTTTCACCATAGTGTTGTTACTGGCTGTGAAGTCACCAGACAGCTGAACGGGAGCTCCTTAGGGTGCTGGGACTCTGACCTTGTTCTTACCTTTTCTCTGCTTTCTGGGGAATTCCTGGCGGAGATACTATGCTCTCTGCTTCCAGCCCTTGAAACTCTGAGTAAAAGACTTGTAAAACCCCCTTTTCTGTCACACTTGACAGGTTGCGAAGAGCTTCTACAGCAGGGGTGGGGAACCCTTTTTCTGCCAAGGGCCATTTGGATATTTATAACATCGTTCTAGGGCCATACAAAATGATCGACTTAAAAATTAGCTTGCTAGATTTAATCAAACATTTAATTAACTTACTCACCCCTAATGCCTTGGCAGGGTCCGACCAATGATTCTGTGGGCCTTATACAGCCCGAGGGCTAGACGTTCCCCACCTCTGTTCTGCAGGCACGGTCTCATGTGCTCTCCCAAGGTATTGGTGAGGGGGAGCATTAGTGTTGTGGTTGGTTTATTTACTTATTTGTAATATAAGTAATATGTTTTTATTGATTTTTAGAGAGGAAGGGAGAGGGATAGAGAGAAACATCGATAAGAGAGACACTTCATAGATCAGCTGCCTCCTGCATGCCTCCTACAGGGGATGGAGCCCGCAACCTGGCCATGTGCCCTGACTGGGAAGCCAACTGGTGACCTCTTGGTTTCTAGGTCGATGCGCAACCACTGAGCCACACTGGCCAGGCATGTTTTATTTACTTAAAAAATTTTCTTTGTAAGAATTTATTTGCGACAAAATGACAACATTTGCTGGGGAGCAACATCTAAAGTGTTCCTAGCTTTGTGATTTATAGATGAGGAAAGAGGCTCTGAGTGGGGACTGACCGAGTGGCCTCAGGGCAAATCTGTGTTTCCCCTGAATCTCACTGAGTAGAGAGGCTGTGGTTAAAGGAGGGATTTCTCAAGAATAAGCTTGTTGACTGATTCGGATCACCGAAGGACCTGGAAGTTCGAGTTTCTATTTTCTGGAATGGTGTAGGAGCCTGAGGGTCAAGGAGCAGCCCAGACGACCCCCAGTGCCCCCCAGCCCTGGTGCTCGAGTGCCATTGTGGTTGGAACCCCTGCTCTCAGGTGGGAGCACTGACTAATGAAGCTTCAAACCAGGGTTTCTAGTGTGAGCTCCCCCCTAGGCGTTCCCCTCTATGCAATGCGGAGGGTGGTGGTACCCATTCCCTGCTTCCTGGCGTATGCACGATGGGGGAGCAGTGACGCCTCAGAGCATGCAGAAATGACACGTGCCTTTTCCAGAGCAGCTTCTGTTCCCCAGGAATGAACATGCCGGGGCCTCGGATGGCCTTCCTTGGCGATGCCAGGGCTGCGGTCCTCCTTTCCAGCACCCTGAACGCGTGGGTAGCCGACACCTCGTGCTGCTGGAGGCAGTGGGCGGGCAGCTCCCAGGCAGTGTTCTTGGATCCCGCGCCAGGAGACCAGATCTCAGTCAGGCTCTGGCACCACCGTTATCGCGGTGAACAAGTCACTTAAGCTCCACGCGTTAACTTTCTCAGGTGCAAAGCGAGGAGAGGACAATGAGCGTGGCTCCTTTCTGTGGCTCTTGGTAGCTTTGAAGCCAACTAAGCTGGAGAATCTGCAGGTGCCCAACAGATGTCCTCATGCTTTGACTTAGCAGGAGTCCTGTGCTGTGTAACAACGGTTAGATCAGTGACGGGCCGCATGCATGACAGTGGCCCCGTAAGATTTGAATGGAGCTGAAAAGTTCTTATCACCTGGAGATGTTGCAGCCGTCAGCACCGTGCATCACTGACATGTTTGCGATGCTGGTGTATGCAAAGCTACTGCTCTGTGTCAGCCACATAAGAGTGTAGCAATACAATTATGTACAGTATACAACACTTGCTGATGATAATAAATGACTGTGTTACCTATTTAGGTATTTACTGTAGTATACTTTTTACCATTACTTCAGAGGATACTCTTTCTACTTATAAAAGTTTTTTGCTGTAAAACGGTATTCCGTGTTAACTGGCAACAGCCTCATACACTGTACGCCTGCCATGTCTTGTGATTGCATCATGTTCTCTTGTGATGTTTTATACAATAACTTGCTGTACAGGCTAGTAGTCTAGGAGCAACAGGCTCTCCCATATGACCTAGGGGTGTAGTGGGCTATACCAGTGGTCGGCAAACTGCGGCTCGCGAGCCACATGTGGCTTTTTGGCCCCTTGAGTGTGGCTCTTCCACAAGATACCACGTGCGGGCGCGCACGTACAGTGTGATTGAAACTTTGTGGCCCATGCGCAGAAGTCGGTGTTTTGTGGAAGAGCCACCCTCAAGGGGCCAAAGAGCCGCATGTGACTCGTGAGCTGCAGTTTGCCGACCACTGGGTATACCATCTAGGTTTGTGTACGTGCACGCTGATGTTTGCAGAACGTATCCTCGTCGTTAAGCGGTACGTGACTGTATCAGATATCAGTACCTGACCTGGTGTGTGTGTGTGCTGAGGCAGAGCTCAGGATGCTGCCTGTGGGCAGAGCAGGTCAAACAGCACAACACTGGCTACAGCCCCCAGGTATCATAATAAAGAGCTTGTTAAATTAACAATGATGCATCTGCCTAGGAAGATACTCTGTGGTTTCTAAAAGGGTTTTTATCAAATAACATTGACTGATGTAGTTAAATCTGTACAAGCTACTAAGTGAAAATGTAGTTTACCAAACCATGGTCCCATTTTTGTAGAAGTAAAAGCATGGAATGAATGCTATATAGCGAAAGCAGGTGTCTCTGGGAGGCAGCTTCTTGAGTGTGTGTGTGTGTGTGTGTGTGTTTGTGTGTGTGTGTTTGTGTGTGTGTGCGCGCGCACACTTATCAGTATTTTCTAAATGTCCTACGAGAAATGGGTATTACTTCTGTAAAAAGAAAAATATTCTAAAAGTTACCATCAAACGTTTCATCCATTTTAAGAGGCACTGACACTGCTGCTGCATGTAGGGAGGGCGCTGACTGAAGCTTCCTGATTCCTCCAGATGATGGCTAAAGGGTTCTGTGTCCCCTCTGCCTCCCCAGGAAAGAGAGCAGCATGGCCAGTGTGCTGTCCCGGCGCCTCGGTAAGCGGTCCCTCCTGGGAGCCCGGGTGTCGGGGCCACCCGGGGCTGCCCCACCTTCGGAGCCGCAGGCGGAGCTGCTGGAGGGGGTGGCTCCCCAGCCCTTCACCTCCAAGGACACGTCCTGTCAGGAGCAGCCCAAGGAAGTCCTCAAGGCTCCCAGCACCTCAGGCCTCCAGCAGATGGCCTTTCAGCCTGGACAGAAGGTAGGATGGTGCCTGAGTGGACAGGTGCGCGATCTTCCCAGGCTTGTGGCCGGCAGGCTAGTGGTGCCCCGAGGGACAGGTGGGAACTCCCTGGGCATCGTTCCGCGTGCGTACAGACCTTCAGCTTGCTGCCCTGTGGGCCTGAGGGCAGCAGGCTTCTAGAGAGAATGAGTCATCAGCAGCGGACCCAGGACTCCTCTCTGACTGACAGTGCTGCCTGGAGAAAAGGCTGGCGAGACCTGACATCTGATTTTCTGGGCTTAGACCTACTCAAAACCTCAGTTTTAAGCATGGCCAAACCTAGTTTTTTCTTAACTTGTCTTGGTTTGCAACTTAACAAAACAAAGGGAAGAATCTCAGGCTTATGAGAGATAAGGTTGTGTCTTCGAATTACCTTTAGAAGTTTTTAAGAGAGGAAGGTGTTCGTTTAGTCAGAATACTATTTGGTCTTTCTTTTCCAGTGTTTCTCCCCTTGTGTCAGGGCCCGTACCTGATAGTATCACTAGATCCAGATGCGTGGGCTTCTCTTTTATTGCCTTCTCCAGGGTCCGTAAGTAGACTCTACCTCAGGGGTCCTCAAACCACGGCCCGCGGGCCACAGGCACATACAAATATTGTATTTGTTCCCGTTTTGTTTTTTTACTTCAAAATAAGATATGTGCAGTGTGCATAGGAATTCGTCCATAGTTCTTTTTTAGACTATAGTCCGGCCCTCCAACGGTCTGAGGGACAGTGAACTGGCCCCCTGTTTAAAAAGTTTGAGGACCCCTGCTCTACCTCTTGTCTCCCTGCTGAGGCTTCTGTTTCCCACAGCTCGCTTCCCCAGCTGCTCGGCAGCCCTTGAGAGAGGACAGCCTACCTCTCCATCCCTACCGTCTTGTCCCTAGGTAGACTCAGAAGTCCCTGCAGGGCAAAATGCAGGGTGAGTAATTCAAGGCAATAGTTGTGAACCGGCAGATCTATAGGACTTTGGAGGCAATGCAGGGCAAGAATTCCGGAGGATGGACACGGATTCCAAATTCATTTGATTGGAATTTAACTCATTGGAGAATTTAACTCATTTACGTTTAAAGTAATGATTGGTAGGTAAGGACTTACCGTTGTTACTTTCTTTATTATTTTCTGACTGTTTTGTAGTTCCTTTGTTCTTTCTTCCTCTCTTGCTGTCTTCCTTTGTGGTTTGTTGATTTTTTTTCAGAGTCATGCTTTGATTCTTATTAATTTTTTGTATATCAACTAGAGCAGCAGTTGCCAACCTTTCAGACCTCACGGACCACCGGTCCATGTACCACCAGTTGGCGACTGCTGAATTAGAGGTTTTTTTTCTGGTTGCCACAAGGCTTACAGAAAACTGTCTGTTTTAAGATGATAACAACTTAAGCTTCAATGGATACAGATTGTAAGTTCAGAAGAAAAAAATCTCAGAAACTGACATGTTCACTTTCTCCTTATAGAGCAGTTGTTGCCAACCTTTTTTTGGCCATGCCCCACCCTAAGCATATCTAAAATCCTGATGCCTCTCCCCCCCTCCCGGTGACATATAATTCTTATTATTCAAATAGTGAACTGTTCACGTGGAGGAAGCCTAAAAGGCCATTAACTTGGTCTAAACAAGCTTCCAAAGAACATGGCATCCATGAAAGAGAAAAATAAAAGAACGAAAGGACAGTAGAAGTACCGAGGAAGAAATCACTGAGATATTGTTAAAAAAAAATAACATGAAGTGATATGAAAAAATAGCAAATAAAGTTTCAAAACATATAATAGAGAACTGAAATGCACAAATAGGTCACAATATATATTTATATGCTGTATATGAGGCCCCTAGAACCCTAAGAAATGCAAAAAATTCACTGTTAATGACTCATTCTCGAATGGCCCCCCTTAAAAGCCAAGTTCCCCCCTGTGGGGCGTGTGCCCCACGTTGGGAACCGCTGATGTAGAGAGTTTATAAGGATCTGCTTTGGGAAGAACCAGTCCACTGGGGGCTCAGGTGGGAAGCGGATACCTGGCAGCATCTTGCTTAAATGACAGCTGAGTCGGGGACTTTAGTTGGTGCCAGGCGGATCCCAGAACTTGGGGCCTGTGGGGTAAGAACTACTAAGTGCTGACCCCGGTTGCTGCTCTTCTCTCCCACCAGGTGTATGTGTGGTACGGGGGGCAAGAGTGCACGGGACTGGTGGAGCAGCACAGTTGGGCGGAGGACAAGGTGACGGTCTGGCTGCTGGACCAGAAGTTACAGATCTGCTGCAAAGCGGAGGAGGTGTGGCTGGCCGAGCTACAGGGCCCCATCCCCCAGGGGCCACTTCCGGAGCAGGGAGCCCAGGCGCAAGCCTACAGGCCTGTCTCCAGGAACATTGACGTCCCAAAAAGGTTTGTGGGGGAGAACCGTTGCTCTGAAAATCATGTGGGTGGGGAGGAATGGGGTTGTGGCATGTTTTGTGATGGGGGAGGAATGTGCAAGTCCTAGGTGTCTAGTTGTCAAGATATTGGACAAATGGGACGCAGAGAGAAGAGACGGCATCCTTTAGAAAAACCCAGAATGGCCCCTGTTCTGCTATGTTTTTGGTTTGACTAAGTGCTGTTTTTCCTCTCTTCATACTTAGATTAAAATTAGGTCTTAGTTTTTCATGATGAGAGACAGGAAAAAATGGCTTAGATCAGGAATCAGTGAACTTGTTCTGTTTTGCTTTTTTAAAAAAATATATTTTATTGATTTTTTACAGAGAGGAAGGGAGAGGGATAGAGAGTTAGAAACATTGGTGAGAGAGAAACATCGGTCAGCTGCCTCCTGCACACTCCCTACTGGGGATGTGCCCGCAACCAAGGTACATGCCCTTGACCGGAATCGAACCTGGGACCCTTGAGTCCGCAGGCCGACGCTCTGTCCACTGAGCCAAACTGGTTAGGGCAGTGAACTTGTTCTGAATGGGCCAGATAGTAAGTAGGGTAGGTTTTGTGGGCCACGCGGCCGCTGTCCTGGAGACTCTGCTCTGCTGTGGTAGTGTGAGGGCAGCCACAGACAATAAGGAAACACACAGGCACCGCTGCGTGCCAATAAAACTTTACTTATGGACACTCAGATTTCAATTTTATCTAGTTTCCATGTGTCACATGTCAAGAAATAATACTCTTCTTTTGATTTATAAAACCATTAAAAAATTATGAAACCATTCTTAGCTTGGGAGCCATACAAAAGCAGGCGACAGGCCACATTTGATCCACAGCCCATAGATTGCTGACCCCTCGCTTAGACATTTGAAACCATTGATTTTTTAAAAATTTTTATTTTTCAATTACAGTATATGTTCAGTATTATTTTGCATTAGTTTCAGGTGTTCAACATAGTTCAAAACCATTAATGTTGAATGCAGACTGTATGAATGTATATCTGGCTTTAGAATTTTATGATACAATTTTACCCTGAGGGGGAATATATGTATATACGTGTGTATATATATCTATATCTATCTATCTATATCCTAGTTTCTGTTACATACTGTTTGTACATTGATCTTTTAAAATTAAAAAAGAAAACCTGCCAATGGAGATTGTCTTATATCCAGGATGTGCACACAGTTAAGCCTCATTCCACCTCTTTCTGTGCTTGTCTGTGGGGAATACTGCCATTGACAGTATACTGACAGCAGACCAGAGCAACAATATTTGTGATTGTGAATTCAGAGGAATGTTGGCAGAGAACTTGTTTTTCTACTCGATGGAAATAAAAATACAAAGAGCACGTATAACAAAGGGATGCTAATATGTTTAACATATTACTGGCCTTCGTTTAACTACTTCAAACCCAGTCACACATTTTGGTGGCTCTGAATTGTAAAGAAGGGATTATTCAGTCCTTTGAAATGGATGAGTTACCTACAAATGTATTTCAGTCTAACTTTCCATACCTTAGCATTAACTTATAGACAGCTCTAAATTTACTTCCACGTAATGTAACTTCATATGGATTTTTTAAAAATCGCATGTAAAATTTTATAGACCTCTGCTGTATAAAGCATTGAGATTTACTTTAGTCCTTCTGGTTTACTTGCTCATTGGCTTATGTACTAGGTTCTGTTGACATTCAGAAGCTAACAGAATTCCTCATCATTTTTCTTGGGGGAGGGGAAAGGGATTGGTTAGTGTAATTGTTTCCTCTTAAATTTAAGATGGGGGAAAGAAAGGTAATTTTAGTGCTTTCGAATTCTAGTGGGCATTCTTTTTGTCCATGCTCTCTTTCATTGCTTTGACTCTCCTTCTTCCCCCGAAAATACAGTTCTCTATTTTAAGCTGCAGAGTTAGTTAGGAAGTGAATTCAGGGGAGAGAATGGAGTGGCCTCCGGGTGTCAGCAGTGGGATGGGGACCGACCCCCTTAGACTGGGGTTGACTGATACTATAAACGTAATCCAGAATGAGTATTTTTTATGAAGAATGAGGGGAGACCTTCATGCTTTATTTAACGTACACGCTGGCTGATTGGAGTGGGGATGAGGAGGGGACAGCCCAGATAGGTGATATAATCACGTGACCAGCAGTGCCAGCATGTAATCTCTGGCCCTCACCTGCTTGAATCCAGGAAGTCCGAGGCGGTGGAAATGGACGAGATGATGGCGGCCATGGTGCTGACGTCCCTGTCCTGCAGCCCGGTCGTGCAGAGTCCTCCTGGGGCCGAGGCCAACTTCTCTGGTGAGGAAGGGAGTCCACGTGGGTTCTGGGTGTGGCAGAGGCTCGTCACTCACGTCCTCTGCTCTGAGCAGCTAATTGCCAAAGGCCTGGCCTGGCAGCAGGATCCCGGAGTCCCTTCTTTCCTGTGTCCCAGCCTGGCTGAGTGACACTGAGCTGGATGCTTCCGTTCTTTTTCCTCAGTTTCCTCCTCTGAGGAGAAGTTTCCTGGTGCCTTGTGAAGATGATTGAGCACGGGGCTGAGCCACACTGGCCACTTGAGTAAGTTCTTCTATGGGAGTAAGTGAGTGAGGCACTTTGGTGGGGGCCTGAACCAGGCCCACCGAGGAATATTTGGTTCACAAAGGTAGAAACTTACTAAACTAGTGGCCTCAGAAGATTCACGCCCCTGTTCCAAGTGCCTAATCCAGCCTTGTAAATTAGCGTGGGCCTACCGGCCAAGGACCTGGAATAAACAAGCCGAAGTCTAAAATAAATCTAATTGCTTCATGCAAAGCGATAGAAGGACTTCACAGCAAATTGACAGATTAAAGGGAAATTCTTCTGGTGCGACCCCCAAAATACACCATCAGTAAAATGGGGGAGGAAGAAGGGCTGCTGGATATTAGTAGTTTGGCAAGATTGGTGGTGAACCTGAATGTTTCATTTGGGAAGTCGCTATGGGGCTGGCCTGACTTACTCCCAGGGAATAACTTCTTCATTGGTGAGTTTTAACTGAAAATACAGAGTCAGCAGGAAAGTGGCCTTTACAAGTATCCCTCAAAAGTCATCGTTCTAGATACAAAGTCAATTCAAAAGAGAGATGAAGCAAATCTACTTCCTTCACCCAAAGCCCATCCATCATCAGTGACGAGTTTGCTAGTTAGTTGTTGTGTCTGATCCCACCTGTGGTGAAGCCTGGCGTGCGTTGTGCATCTACTCCGTTAGCACCGAGAGCGACACAAACACAACGGGGAAGTAAGGAGTCAGTTTTAAGTTCTCAGGAAATTCTACGAGTTTAGGAGATCCAGGAGGTTGGTCAATAGGAGGAGGATCCAGAAAAGTGTCAGAAAGGGAAAGAAAATCATTGACTTCAATTCCCATCAGGTTTTGTGTGTGTGTGTGTGTGTGTGTAGAATACATATATAATATTCACACACAAACACACACACACAGCACCCAACACCAACACATATACATCTAACATAACATGCCACGATCCTGACATCTGAAGTCCCTTTTGGACACAAAATTTATTAGTTTATTAAAGATGTTTTTCCATTATATGTCTGGTCTTATGACTGAAATCAGTGGAAATATAAGGCTTCCTTGGCAGCGAATGATATTGAAGTATTCTGCCGCAAGGTGGGGTCTACACAGTCACCCACACCTTGCTCTAACCATGGATACTGTTTGCACAGAAACCACTCTTCCCTGTGGTGTCTGTGTTGTTAGGGTGGTCCTGCGCAGGTGTGTGTGTCGAGACCAGAGGGGATTATAAATATTTCTTAGAGGTTCGCTGTATGCTCTCATTGCTGTGTTCTTGCAGAGGAGTACTTGGTTTTCATGCATAGCATAGCTAGTACCTCCCCTAGAAAATCGCACGATCGAAGGTGGGGTAATTTATGTTCATCTTACAACGTATAGATTAATTTGTGAAATTAACCTTTTGCTTTTTAAAATATTTTTCTTCCTCCGTGTGCCAATCTGCCAGTTCCAGCGTTTGAGCCATTTGCATGGCTGCCTGTGGAAGGTTGCTGTGTTGTAGCGTTTCCCTGTGTTTGACCTGCTCTTCTCCAGAGTTAGATGTGGCATTCTGCTTCTTTGCCCTTCTCTCCTGGAGTGGGTGTGTGGGGGCCCTGGACCTATTGGGCTGTTGGGGCTCCTGAGTTCTTCCCCGAAGGGCTCCCCTATTTTGGAAGCCCCGATGTCATAAACTCTTGGTTTCCAGGGAGTCATAGCTTTGAGACTTGGCAGTTGATACTTAGGGAGGGAAGAGCTCTTAGCATCCCATGCTGTGTGGGTGGGCTTCTGCTGGCAGGTGTGACTTAATGAAGGAGAGCCTGGATGGGCAACATGCAGCAGGAATGCTGGGTGTCTACCCCAGGTGTCTAGCTCAGCGAGAAGCAGTTGGGAATATGGAGCAGGATGAGAGAAAAGCAGTCGGATTTGTATCCTGGCTACAACGGACGTGTCCGTCGATCTCAGAACCCAGGTCACGGAGGAGGCTCCATGGAAAGCCCGCCCGTGGTGGGGGTTGGGGTGGTTGGGGACATGGGCACCACACTTTTTCCCTCTTCTCTTGCTGTTTCTGTGTCTGAGAATGTCAGATTCTCCTGTCCTATCAAGGAATCGGGATTTATGGCCTGGGCGATGGAAGAGTCCGGGCTGGGCCTGAAGTAGCCCTAAGACAGGCAATTTAAAAACCGGAAGTGTCACGTCTCACTGTGATCTTCCTCCTGCTCGGACGCACTGCTGGGAGCAGGCGGCAGGTTCAGGGTGAGCAGGTGGCAGGTTCAGGGCCCTGCCGGCGTCACCCAGGCATCTGTCATTGGTCTGAATTGCTGTCAGGGATTATCTTCTCTAAACGCGTTACTGGTGGGTAAAAGCAGCCACCTGGGCTGCCGCCACCTCTGATGAACGGTACACGTCCCAGTGGCTGTAGAGCTGGCTGCGTGGTTGCTTCCCACAGGCAGTTTTTGATGGACTTGCCTGGGTTTAAGTGACCAATAGGTATTTTTCAAGGAAGCCTGGTCAACAAGCTCTTAGCTTGGCCTTTCCATCCTACTCCGCTGTGGGGAAGGCACCCAGTGGTCCCTGGCACATGTCTGTACACCTTCTCACCCACTCTTTTAGGACTCGAGAGAATCTTTCTCCTCCCCCTCCCCCTGCCATTTATTTATTTATTTTTAATAATTAATTATTAATTTTAGAGAGGAAGGGAGAGAGACAGAGAGAAAAAACATCAATGATGAGAGAGAATCATTGATTGATTCTCTACAAGTCCCACACTGGGTATCGAGCTCGCAACCTGGGTATGTGCCCTGACTGGGAATCGAACCGTGATCTTGTGGTTCATAGGTTGATGCTCAACCAGGGAGTCATGCCGGCTAGGCCCCCTGCCTTTTTAAAAAACATATAAAGCAAGAAACACATTAAAAAACACACACATATATATTTTTTTATTTCATAGAGGAAGGAAAAGGGAGAGAGAAATAGAAACATCAATGTTGAGAGAGAATGAATCATTGATCGGCTACCTCCTACATACCCCCCACTGGGGATTGAGCCCACAACTCGGGCATGTGCCCTGACCAGGAATTGAACCATGACCTCCAGGTTCATAGGTCGATGCTCAACCACTGAGCAACACCAGCCGGGCAGTGAGAAACACATTTTAAAATTCGGTTCTCTTTCTGTTAATAATATACAAGATGAAGTTTCAGTGTGTGCTTGTTGGTCAGTGGTTATCAAAGTGGCCGTGGCAGGAAATGGCCACTGGAGCCGAGCAGGACTGCCCAGGGACATTGCTGCGATGAGGTGCAATGTCTCCTCATTTTTACTGACGCTCAGAAAAGGGAGGTTTGGGTTTTTCCTCCCTGACGTGGCACAGCCAGGCAGAGCCAGAGCCAGGAATTGGACTCAGGAACCCAGGCTCCAATCAAGAACGTCGTGGCCTCTGACCTGGGCTGTCCGTGTGGAATCCGGTGCAGACAGGGCCGTGCCAGAAGCGCTGTCTGGGGACGGGCCCATGAGCGTCCTCTCTCTTCCCTCCGCCAGCTTCCCGTGCGGCCTGCGACCCGTGGAAGGAGAGCGGCGACGTGTCCGACAGCGGCAGCAGCACCACCAGCGGGCACTGGAGTGCGAGCAGTGGCGTTTGCACCCCCTCGCCCCCCCACCCCCAGGCCAGCCCCAAGTATCTGGGGGACGCCTTTGGTTCTCCCCAAACCGATGCTGGATTTGAAACTGATCCGGACGCTTTCCTGTTGGATGAACCAGCTCCACGTAAAAGAAAGGTACGTGGTGATGTGAGCGTGAGCTCGGGCCGGCGAGGCTGGCGTCCACGTGGGGCCCACAGGTCCCAGGCCTTCTCAGGCTCCATCCCGTTTTCGTTTTCCCCTGCTGCTGCTGATCCCTCTTGACATTCCCAGGAGCTCTCTTCGATGCGGTTCCTCTTCACCTCTGCGCCGGTCCCCGCCTCTTCTGCTGCTCTCCTGAGGCTTTGGTGGGGTCTGACCCACAGCACCAAGCGCTGCTGCCGGCCGCCAGGCCCGGCTCCTGGGCCGAGGCCCTTGGCCCCTGCCTGTCAGTCTCTTTGGCCCCAGCGAGCCTTTTGTTAGGTTTTGTTTGCAGGAGGCTGATGTCCCCAGGAGGTGAGGATGGGAAGGGGATGAAGGAGAGAAACTTGTCCCAATGACCCTGTCTTCCTTTCCCCTAGAACTCGGTGAAGGTGATGTACAAGTGCCTGTGGCCAAACTGCGGCAAAGTCCTGCGCTCCATCGTGGGCATCAAGCGCCACGTGAAGGCCCTCCACCTGGGGTAGGTGTGGGGCCCAGGGCCTGCTTGCCTCGGGTGGCATTCAGGTCTCCTCCACCCTGCTGATGCCTGGGCACCCACAGCCCAGAATGCTTCCAGGGAAATGACTTGTGGAGAGCGCCACCTGGTGCCCACCCCTGTGCCCGGCGGAGTGGCCTGTTGGAGAGAGTTCCTTGCTGGGAAGGAAGGACCCTCCTCTCCTGTCGCAGTGAATGTCAATCTATCTCAGCGGTTCTCAACCTGTGGGTCGCGACCCCTTTGGGGGTCGAACGACCCTTTCACAGGGGTCGCCTAAGACCATCGGAAAACACATATATAATTACATACTGTTTTTGTGATTAATCACTATGCTTTATGTTCAATTTGTAACAATGAAATTGGGGGTCACCACAACGTGAGGAACTGTATTAAAGGGTCGCGGCATCAGGAAGGTTGAGAACCACTGGTCTATCTGTTCATGGGGAGGGAGCAACATCCGTAAGTGGATGTGTCATCTTGCCTCACTGTAGGATGCAAGCTGTTAGAATTCTGGGTAGAAACAGGGTGATTTGGGGAGACCCCGTGGTGAGGCCTGCCCCTGCTTTCCCTCGGGGACCTGGGGCTCCGTCGACACGGCCGCCCCAGAGTCAGGGTGCTCTTGGCTGAGGGACTGGCTCACAGCCCTTTCCCTGGAGGAGAGACTGTGACTGCAACGAGGTGGGCCCGACAGGACCCGTGGCAGGGCTCAGGGTCAGACGACGCCTGCAGGAGGAGAGGTTCGTGCACCCTGTGAGAGAGGAGAAGCCTCAGGTGCAGGAGAAACAGTCCCATTGATGTGCAAGCACGTCCTCCCCTGTGACGTTGAGTTGGGAACAGGCTCCTGTGTGGCCTCTTGGGCTCCTTCCCTGACTCGCCGGGTGGCCCCGAGCAGACAGCCCCTCTTGCGCCTCAGTTTCCCCTGTGTTTGAACTGAGGCAGCTTGTCCCTGACCACCGCCGTGTCTCCCGCCCCCGCAGGGACTCTGTGGACTCCGACCAGTTCAAGCGGGAGGAGGATTTCTACTACACGGAAGTGCAGATGAAGGAGGAAGCAGCTGCTGCTGGCACCCCCACCGCCGACTCAGCCCCCACCCCCGGTGTGACCAGCCCACCCCTCGCCATTCTCCCACCGCCTCCTCCCAAAGGCCAGCCCTCGGGCCCAGAGCACCCTGGCCTGGAATCCTACCTGCCCTCCGGTGCTCTCAGCAAGTCAGCTCCCGGCTCCTTCTGGCACATTCAGGCTGACCATGCATACCAGGTAGGGCTGGGCACACTGGGAGCTTAGCCTTGCGACCGTGAGGATGTTCCGTGTCTGACCTGTCACCCACCAGCCGGATCACAGGCCACTGACCACCCCGATCGGAGGCTGAGTCCTGTAGCTAAATGGGTCGCCTCTAACTTCTACAAAGAAGGAAAGGAAAATAAGTTACATTTGACAAATGTGGGGGTTCCCGAGTTCTTCCTCGGTGGCTGTCACGAGTGATTACTAGAAATCTGGTTGAACCCCCGAGCACCAGGTTGATGGATTTGGACGGGGGAGATGTTACGCCGCTGGCTATAAAGGCGCATAGAGTCATGTCGTTGGGCTTCCCAGAGCAAATCCCTAGTCCCTAGAATTGTGTTACATTAACAAACAATCCAGCACCTATTTTTAAAAACCCTACTATGTGTCAAGCAGTGGGATAAGCTTTCCAGACAGAATAAGACATTGTACTGACCTTGCACGGTTTAGCTGGAGAGAGAAATGCATATGTAACTATGATTAATTATAATCGTCCATGTACCTTCCTGGAGGCACAAGACATTGTTGTGGGTACAGGAAGGACCAAACTAGGATGCCCTTGTGGTTGGGAAAGTTGTCACGGAGGGGGTGTCATTTAGGATGGTCTTCACTGTGCACATAGTAGGTATTCAGTAAATACACAGCTTACCTTGTGCCAGTTTTTCTTTCAATGCTTTCGTGCCCACAGCTTGATTTTTTTTTAAAAATATATTTTATTGATTTTTTACAGAGAGGAAGGGAGAGAGACAGAGAGTCAGAAACATCGATGAGAGAGAAACATCGATCAGCCGCCTCCTGCACATCCCCCACTGGGGATGTGCCCGCAACCCAGGTACATGCCCTTGACCGGAATCGAACCCGGGACCTTTCAGTCCGCAGGCCGACGCTCTATCCACTGAGCCAAACCGGTTTCGGCGCACACACACAGCTTGATTTTATCAGACTCCAGACTGATTGGCAGGTTAGTAATTAGACAGCAGTGCTTTCAATCAGAAAGTCTTTACAAAATGAGCCAGGTTTCCTCATTAGAATGAGTGGTCACTTAGCTATTTCATGTTTGGCCAACTTTCAGGCGGCCCTTCAGGCACCTGGCTGCCGCTGGAGACTGTGGCTGGTGTTTTGATAGACAAACCTAAACCCGTTCATCCAGGAGAATGTTGCTAATTCCACGTGGTTGCTGGGGACGCCCTACCCTTACTGCAGCAATCGCTCCCTGCTCAGGAGGCTTTGGGCCGTCTTTGGGGAACTGCCTATAGCGTGTTCTTGGTGGGTGATGATGACGTCATGCGGCTAGCGTGTGCACCGGCTCTGAGAGGGGTTCCTAAAAAAGACTGGCGCCCAGGACTAAGGAGACACGTCAGAGAGTTGGGAACTCTGCTGTTTCTCTTGGGAAGGGCATTCTGGCGGATCCCAGGGTTTCCCGCCAGAGACATTCTGCTGTGCATCCTGATGTCACAGGAGGGTGGGTGGAGTCAGAGAGCCGGGACCTGGGCTGACGCTGTCTTGTCTCCCGCAGGCCCTGCCGTCCTTTCAGATCCCCGTCTCACCGCACATCTACACCAGTATAAGCTGGGCCGCCGCCCCCTCCACGGCCTCCTCCCTCACTCCGGTGAGTGTGCCGGTCTCCGAGCCCCAGGGCCCTGCCACACATACCCAGTGCTGGGGCCCTCTCCTCGCACTGGTCAGCAGCACCCACACTTCGTGAAGATCTCCCCCTGGCCTGGCACTCTCCAGCGGGTCCCAGCCCCTCTTAGCAGGTGGAAGGAGGGTGCCTGCAGAGAAAAAACCAGGTCATGCAAGTTTATTGCCAAGAAAATCACGAGGCGAGGCCAGGGTCAGTGCCCTGTTAGGCCCGAGTGTCTGTGGTGCTTGTTAAGAAGGGAGAGAATGTGGGAAACCTGGAGGGGAGGAGGGTGGAGGGCAAGCAAGCAGGTGGGAGCTGGTGGGGGCTGTGTAGACTGGATCAGAAATCGCGCGGCCACCGGGGACCACTGCTCAGGTGGCTTGCCTCTGAACTAAAATGCACTGGAAGCCACTTGCACCACCCACCGTGGGTTCTAGTCTTACACGGCTCTGGTAGGAAGGGATCACGCACTGGGAAGCCTGGATGCTTGAACGTGGCTTTGAGACAGTGCCATCCCTTCTCTGCTGTCACCTGTGGTGACTGCCTCTAAGTCTTGAGGGAGCAGCCCCTGAAGTGGCCAGGCCAACTCCCCTGCCCGTGGCCCCTACTCTCTCATGAGCGTCACGAAGAGGCTTGCTCCTCACTCTCCCGCTCCCCTCACCTGGCCCCTGTTCACCTCCGTCTGAAATGTCCTTCCGGAAAAGGCACGCTGGCCCTCCTGGCACAAGGAGGGGCCCCGCGGGCGTGGCTGCCTGCCCTGTGCTTATGGCCCCTCTCTCTGTGCCCAGGTCCGGAGCAGGTCGCTAAGCCTCAGCGAGCCCCAGCAGCCACCACCTGCCATGAAATCTCACCTGATTGTCACGTCTCCACCCCGGGCCCAGAGCAGCACCAGGTAAGGCCTCTGCTCCCAGCGCCTCCTCCTGGCTTTCGTCCCCACTGTCTCCACTGCGAGCGTGGGCTCTGAGTCCACTGACCCTGGTCTTCAGGGTCAGTCCTGGGAACCAGGCGGGGCGGGGTGAGCCCGGCTGGAGGACACACCGCTTGTTTGCTCAGCCTCACACTTGGCCACTCTCCGGGGCTAACCACCAGCTCGTGACGTGCCCTCATTACTCTCTTGGCAGGAAGGCCCGCGGGGAGGCTAAGAAGTGCCGCAAAGTGTACGGCATTGAGCACCGGGACCAGTGGTGCACAGCCTGCCGCTGGAAGAAGGCCTGCCAGCGCTTCCTGGACTGAACCTGCCGGCCGGCTCCCCCTCGCTGCTCCCGGCCCCACGGCAGCCAGATGACAAAAGGCGGACCCGTGAGCCCTCAGCAGACACCTACCGATAAAGAGTGGACACTGGGAGTGTGGGCTCTCTTGGCTGAGGTTTAATACTTAAACCCCTTTTCCCTCCCTTGTGGGCACATTTTATTTTTTAAAAAGAGAAACGAACCTATTTTTTCCCCCCTCAAGGAGGAGAAAGCCAAAACTGACCAAGGGTATTCTGCAGCGAACTAGAGACCAAAGAATGAATGGGCCTCCCTTCCCCACATCCCCTCTCGCCTGGGGATTAGTGTGTAAGCATCAAAAGAAGGAACCGCTCATTCTGTTTCCTGCTGAGTTGGTGAATTCTTTGCTTTCTCAACTCACCCAGAAAGGACTGTGAGCAAGATGAATTTACTTTTCTTAAAAAAAAAAAAAAAGTTTCTGGCTGATGACTCAGAGAGCAGGACCTGCCGTTGGGGTGGGAAGAGTGGGGGGGTATCTGGGCGGTGTTTTGGGGGTTTTTTTGCAGCAAGCCCTTCTCCACCTGAACCCTGGAGAATGGAGAGCTTGCCTCGCCAAGCAGCTTCCATGGAAGTAAAAGGACAACCTTCTGGTGACAACTCTCTGAATCTGGGTCCCCTCAGACGTTGGGTGGCATCCCAGCACGTACTGTGCGGCTTCTTCTCAAAGCCCAGACCCAGCGTTTTTTTAAAGACTGTCCCCAAGTAGCTGAGCCAAAAGGCTGATCAGAATTCACTTTTTGACGTGTGGCGGTCAAACACTACCTTGATATTCTTTCCTCTTTCCTTGAGGAAAAGCGAGAGGGTTTCCGTATCTGTGAAAGCTCTCTGCTAAAACACTTTGTTTTCTTTTATGGTGTATTCAGAAGCCTTTATCTGATTAAAGTTCCCCTTTATTTGGGTGGTAGGTTCCTCTCTGCCTCTGGTTTCACCAGGGATTTCCCCATTTCCCTCCCGAGGCTACAGGCAGGGCTGGTGGGGAAGGAGAGAGAAGAGCATAGGTAGGTAGGTGAGTGGCAGCTTGCCCACCGATGGAGAAGCAGTTGGCAGGTCTCTCATTGTTTGATGGCTCAGCTGCCCCTTTGGGAGCAATCTCATCCCTCCCTTTGGTGACAAGTGGGATAGGACGCAAGGCAGGAGGCTTCTGGATCTGTTACTCCGGTTGGCCCAGCCCGGTGATGAGGAGGTAATGTTATCTTAGTGTGGTGTGACCGTCCCAGGTACCTGCTAGCACCTTCTTGCCTGAAGGCAGGATGGAGAAGGTTGAGAGAGAGCTGAGGAAATGGGGTGAGGAGGACTGGGGATGCCTTCCCAGCTCCTGGCGCGTTAGCCCGGGGTGTTTCTGGAGGCCTCAGCAATTGAGGGGAGCCTGTACCGCATTGCTCAGGAGGTTAATGAGCAAAGCTTGTCTGCGGAGAAGGAGAGAGATGTGGCGAGTTGAGTGCCATGCCCACCAGGGGTTAAGATGGGGTGAGCTGAGCCCCGAGGGAAGACCCCTCGCCTTCCTTCCTAGGAACTGTGGCCATTCCCTGAGGCCTGCTTGACCAGCTGCCTTGGACCCATGTCCTAGATGTCAGGGGCTCAGGGAACCCCACCAAGCCACTCTGGGGACAGAGCAGCAGCATCCCCCCCGTGGGCTGTCATTGAGCCTAGGAGGAAACCTCCTGCCCCAGAGGGAAATACCTGGCTATCGGGAGCTCCTTTGGCTGCTTCCCGTGGGAATGTGCATATGCCTCGCCGTGGGAGGCAGGTGGAACGTGAGGACACCTGCCCACCTGAGAACAGGGGTGTGGCTTGTGAAGGGTGATGGGGACCCAGGTTTGGTGACAGAGGGAAAGACAGTTATGCACAGGTGTCTTGGGTGGTGATGGGGTATATTTTTATAACTTTGTGAAAAAAGGTAGTGGAATCTCTTCCTCGGTAAAGCTCAAAGCCAGGCCAGCCGGAGGTGGCCCAGGGCTCTCCTTCCTGTCCCTTCAGCCTCCCTGAGAATGAAAAGCTCGTCCTGATTCTGCTCACCTCCCACGCTGTCCGTTTTCAGGGCTTCTCGGGGAGGGGAGGGGAGGGCGTGTGTGAGACGCGGGGATGCTGCCCAGCAGTATCTTCCCTTCCCTCCCCTTCCCTTCTTAATCCCATCTTTAGAAAAGCTGTTCTCATTTCCCCCTCGGTTTGGATTGTGCAGATATAACTGGATATAAAGGTGTTCTCTAAGGGAGGTAGGCTTTTCATGTCTTTGGTACCCAGGGCAGAGAAGGAAGAGAGAAAGAAGAAATTGACGAAACCATTGAAAAGCTGAGGTGGTTTTATTTTTTATTTTATCTTTTGATGTTTTGTTTTGGTGCAGCTTTCCCTGTCTGCATTTGCTCCTGTCTTATTTCGGGTGGTGGCGGCCCCCTCTGGCGTCCCTCTTCCCGCACCTCAATCTCGTGGCTGTTGTGTTGGTTCCTGACATGTGGTCTGTCCCTGGGGTTCCCCCGTTTGTTTCTTCTCGGAGGGTGGGGTGGTTTGTGAACCGATCCAGTGATCGTGCCTGTTTTTTTTTTCATCTCTGTGTCTCTCTCCCTAACTTCCCGGCCCACCTGGGCAGCAGAATCTGAGAGAAGGTAAGATGCCACAGGTGCACGTTGGAAACTAACAGGACTGATCATCAAATGCAGTTATTTTGGGGAAACTTTATTTCACTGGCGTTACCCTTATTCCAAATATTTCTTGGAGTTACCTTGGGAGTCTGGTGCCTACCATGACCAGCCTTAATGATACGAAACCTGCCCTCAGGCTGACTCAGTGCAGAGAGAGTCCCGAATGGCGGTGGCCAAGTGAGGTCACGGGTGCAAAGCACAAGGACTGACTAGTGAGTACAATAATTGGACTCAATTGTGTGGTGTTGGAGCTGGCTGGGGAAGCAGTTCTGCAGTTTTAGAGAGCATTTTGAGCAATGTCCACATGGCGATGGTACACCTATGGCTTCTGTCCTTGGAGGACATGATTAATTTGGAGGTGGATACTCTGATTTGTTTGAAGAAATCTGTCCTGTTATTTTCTGCTCCTCCCAGGTTCTGACTTTACCAGGGGCAAAAAAAAAAAAAAAAAAAAGAAAAGAAAAAGAGAGAGAGGGAGAGGGAGGGAGAGAAATCCCATTTGTGAATTTGTCTTACTGGCGCCTTTTCCCCCAGCTGTCTTCCAAGTATTATTTTTACTGTTAAAAAAGTTTTTTGTTTTTTTTTAAATGTGAAATGTAATGTTTTTACAGCAACAATATGAAATATATTTTATAAGGAATAAAATGGTACATAAAATGGTACATTGTCTGATTGAATGTTGTGCCTGTTCCCCCCCCCCCCCCCCCTTTCCCTGCAAAGGATAGATAGCATGTCAGTCATCAGTCACCCTACGGGCAGAGCACGCACATTCATTTGTGTAGAATAACAGTAGGTACCATGGTCAGGGACCAGGCCAAGAGTTATGGACTACCTCAGTCACCCGATGAAGGAGTTACTATTATTATCCCCATTTTACAGATGAAGAGAGTGAGGTTAAATAACCCTCCCAAGGTCACACACTGGGAAACCATGGCACTAGGATTGCAATCCAGGCAGTATAAGTATTTTCTAGGTTGCTTATATTGACCATGGGAAGCATGTTCTTGGCCATGTTCCCGAGTCTGTTGGGGAGTTGGCAAGTGACTCAGGAGAGAAATATAGTTACACACTACTTACGGGAGGAGTTCTGACCTAGGGAGCAACCTGGGCCACCCCCCTGAATTCCTCGGGCCCATGTACTGTGATGGTCCAAATGGCCAGTTAGAGCTGGAGGGTGTTGGGAGCAGAAAGCAACATGGGACCATGAGGAGTGGGTTCCGAGGACCCCCGAGCAGGGCTGACGGCGAGGGTGATGGCGCTGTGAGAGGGCCCGGGAGCTTGATCACGGTTGGTCAAGCCCAGAAGCCCCTGAAGCCGGTGCGGGAGGTTGTCCTTTGGCCTTTCTTCTTGCCTTGAGGTAGAACGGAGGGCTTCTTTCTCCTCCTTCCCTTTGTCCCTGTCCACCCCATCTCTCTAAGAAAGCCCCGGATAGAATCTGCTGCTTCCATGCTGTTGGCCCCAGCCCCCGCATCTGTTCACTGCCTTTGAGTTGGACATCCTTCGTTTGCAGCCCTGGGCCCTCGCAGGCTTACCTGATGGCTGCGTCTGCGGACCCCTAACTGTCTGGCTTCTGGTTGTCTGACCCACAGGAGGCCCCAGGCTGGAGTTGGAGGGGCTGAAGGAGAGAGGAGTTGCCTCTCGGGGCCCTGCCTGCTCTGAGCTCAGTGGGTTCGGCGACTCCCCCTCACCCAGGCTCTCCACCTCCTCAACAGAGCGCCCTACCCTCCCTTACGTAGATGTTGGACTCCTCAGTCACTCTGCCTGGGTGCACCAGATGTTCCTTGGCTGGACTCTGATAGTCACACACCTTAACGTGTTTCGGGTTAAATTGGAGAAAAAAGGACAAACAGCAGGTTTGTCCGGGCTCTGCCCCTCACCTCACATCCCAGTCTAGTCATCCCAAACCAGCAGGATCTGCATCTCTTGCAGCTTGTTAAAAATGCTGATTTCTGCCCTAACAGTTGGTTAGAGCAGCGGTTGCCAACCTTTCGGACCTCACGGACCACCAGAGCATCGTCCCGATAGGCCACGGTGCTGGGTTCACTCCCCAGTCAGGGCACATACAAGAATCAACCAATGAGTGCACGAGTAAGTGGAAGGACAAATTAATATTTCTCTCTCTCTCTCTCTCTCTCTCTCTTCCTAAATTTAAAAGTAAAAAAGTTTTAATGCAAATTTCTACTTATCCCTGCTATGTGGAGTCCCTGTGTGGTAATTTATTTCTTGAGGCTAAATTACATCTTCACTTATGGTTCTCTTACATTGCAAGTGCTTGCATTGAGTCAGAAACGGGGTGTGGGTGGAGGGTGAGGTGTGGGTGGAGGGTGGGGTGGGACCCAACAACTTGTCCGTCGGTGATGTTGCCGTGCGCAGGGAGTTTCTGAGAACCTCGGCCCCTCGGTCCCGCCCGTCCATCCGCCCAGCTGCATGTGGGACACAGCACAGTCGTGTGTCTGTGCTCACGTCTCTTGCCTGTCATACTTTACATAAAGCAGAGCCACATACTTGTTGCCCCTGCCTCCCGAGAGAGGCAGCTCTGATGGTGCGCTTGGAGTCTGCGCTTCTCGGCGACGTCACTTAAAAACAGCCAACCAATCTATCGGTCATTTGCTCAGTAGAAGTTTAATGGAGAAATAATCTGTTTAAAACAATCCGTCAAAAAGAACAGCTCTTTTACAAACAAGTGATGGCAGTGACAAGTCAAAACCCCAGGCTTGATGTCCTGTTCCATCAACCCACCCCTAGAAGAGGGAGGAGGTGGGCGAGAAGGAAAGACGGGACCATTTACATGTCAGCTGGAGGAATTACAAAAATACACTCTGATGTAGGGACTGGGTTGTCATGAAAACATGCTGTGGGTGGGGCGGGGGAGGGGGAAGGAAAGACAGCCAGGCAGGGAGGCGCTGCGCCCCAGTGGGGGGGGGGCAGGGGGGGGCGCGTGGAGACCTGGAGGCGAAGCCCGGCTCAGTGCCGCGGGAAGGGAGGAATCCGGATGCCCAGCCGGCAGGTCTGGGCCTGGCGACATGCTGTTTTGGGGATCACCCGGACACCTGGGGAGACAGAAATGATTATAATGACAAACCAGACAGTTCTACTGACCCTTCAATCCTATACACCCTAGTGACTGAGCGATGGAAAGGAGGCAGAGAAAAGCTACCAACCAACCAAACAGCCCCTGGAGCAGCAACTCCCTTACACCTGCTTTCCCTCCCTGGCTCTAATATATATGATACATATAGACCTATTATATAGCAGACCATCACACTATAGTCTATTGGCACGACTAGCAGCATAAAGGGAAGGCCTGTGGGCTGCTATTTGAAAGGCACAGGGTAGGTGCCCGGCCTGGAGACCGTTCTCTTATCCCTGGTATGTGGAGTCCATGTGGAGTCATTTATTTCTTGAATTACACCCTCACGTGTGGTTGTCTTACATTGCAAGTGCTCTTTCAGCCTGATTTCACTAATTCCTCATCATGAATGAATGTGTTCGCTTTCCACTGCCTATGAGGGTCAAGGCTCCGACGGTATAGGGACAGGGAAGGGACGGAAGATCCCCAGACCAGGTGTGGCCTTCTCGTCATTCTGCCTAGGTCCTGCATGCAGCGTCCCTCCTTCCTAACACATCGCTACACTTTCTGATTAGGGTTCCTTAGCCCATTCCAGTGTGAGACAGCCCCGCTTCCTCCAACCTTATCAGAACAGATTGGCACTGGATGTCACAGAAGCATAGCTTAGCACTGGCAACTGGAATGCCCCAAGCTGGAGAAATGTTGAGCGAGGGAAGGGCTGGTTGGGGTGGAAGAGAATAAAGGCAAGCTCATAAACACACATCCATCTTGGAACTCAGCAACCATGAATGTGTGGAAAAGAAATAGAGAGGTGGCTCTAGAAGGAGAGAGCGAGCCATCGACAAAACCCAAATGAGCTGGTGGATGTCTAGCGTTTCCATCAGGAAGTTTACATCGTGAGCAGAGCAGCAGACAGAAGCTAGTCACCAGTTTTGCCTCAGTGCCGCTCAGTTGGAAGCTTAATAGAAAATGAGAAAAACCAATTGCCTGAATAGGAGCTCAAATAGTGTGTGTGGTTTTTAAAAAGAAATACATTGATTCCTGCAAATGTGGCTGATTTTAAACTGTCTTTCGGTAAAGAAAATGATTGTACTTCAGAATCAGACAGAAGTTTCAGTTCCCTAAGAGCCACTTTATAGAAGAATGTCTAAGATTTGAGAGAATTCAACCCGCGCTACTTCTGAAAGATGTATTGTTAAGCACTGTGCAGATATGGCTTAGGAAGAAATAGAATGCTTGTTAAGGACCCGAGAATATGGCTTCAAAAACAGTGCAGGTTCATTCAGGGCCGTTGCAGATTAGTCATTCTGCTAAAATAAACACAGCGGCCTCTCACAACCAAATGCACATGCCCATGTTTGGCCAGGGACCTTTTGCAGACAAGCTGGCCTACCTGCAAAGAGCCACGTGGGCTGCCTCCCTGCTGAGGTGTGAGTGCCAGAGATGAACATGTATTAATATGCTTTGAAGAAGGATGGTGAACAATCTGGCTACCTTTGCAGTATGGGACACAAACTAAAACAGCACATGCAGGCTTTTTTTTTGTTGTTGCCTCGTAGGGAAAAGCCCCACGGAAAAGCCCCCACTAGGGTTGACCAACTGATTAGTTCTTTCTGTTAGGGCAAGTTTCTAGACTATTTAAGAAGAGGTGTGAGGCTCTGCAGATCATCTTTTTAAAAATAAATATATGTTTTTATTGATTTCAGAGAGGAAAGGAGAGGGAGAGAGAGATAGAAGCATCAGTGATGAGAAAGAATCACTAATTGGCTGCCTCCTGCACGCCCCGCACTGGGGATTGAGCCACAAACAGGGCATATGGCCTGACCAGGAATCAAACTGTGACATCCTGGTTCATAGGTCAATGCTCAACCACTGAGCCACGCCAGCTGGCCTCTGCAGATAATATTATGCCCATATGTGAATTAAGGCACATAGGCTTGATGGGTTTTCTTAGATTTTCAGAAAATTCCATTGTGCTAGCTCTCTGTGCCATTCAACATTATAGATAGTAAATGGGATGAGGAAAGTTGAATTGGTATTGAGGCAATAGATCAGGGTCTTTGATGTTTATTATCTGATATATATTATAGATACATGTAGAAGCATGGTCGTGGGGGTAAGAACAGACCAGAAGGGAGGAAGGAATAAGGGCAAGCACACAAACCAAAACAAACCAAAAATGGCCCTGGGAAGAAGCAAAACGTGAGGAAAGATGATCCCTTAGTCCCAACTCTAAAAGCGACTGGGTCAGTTTGGCCAGCTTCTCAAAGCTCAGTGATGATGCCATCAACCACAAGGAGTCAGTCCACCTGGCCAGTCCATCAGGTGGTAGGATGGACACACGGCAAGTGGAAGAAAGAAGAGCAGAAAGTGTAGCTCCTGGCCCTAACAACAAATCCTACACTGGGAGACTGGGAAAGTTTCATGGTTTCCATGGAATCCAGTCGTCTAGAGATATAGAGGGAGGCATGGGGGATAGCTAAGCTGTTTTTGAAGGTGAAATAGCAATATCACAGCCACAGAAATAAGACTCTTTGCTAACGGCTACGGGTAGGTCTAGCTACTGGTTCTTAGAGATAAAGTCTCTGAGAAAAGGTGAGCTGAATGGTTGCCATGGCAACCGAATAGGAGAATTGGTCCCCTTATCTGTCCCCATAGTAACTAAGCTCCTGGAGAGTTATAGAGGAATTAGTTATCTTAACCTACTACTATTATCCCCATGGTAACTAGTCTCTCAATGGCAGTGGTCAGCCTTAAGAAGAAATCCTAAAAAAAAAAAAAAAATCTTTGCTCCTGAAAAAAAGGGTGGGCAGGAAGCAGGGGGGTGAACACCTTGGGGTGTGGGGGTGTGTGCTTGGGGGCTAATGCGCTAAGACGGGTATATGAGGTTTCTTCTTGCCCCCAGCTCATTCCTGCCCAACTCACTCATGGGTTGAAGTGGACGGTGCAGCTGGGAGGGGCTCCCCTTCCGGCTACACATTACCATTCCGGTTCAGGGTGCGCCGGCGCTGGCTGGACTGCAGGCTCAGGACCAGGTACTGCCTCATGAACTCACTGAACCGCTTCTGGTTGGCCAACTTCCGGGCCGACTTCCGGGCCCCGGTGAAGCCCCCAAACCTCTTCTGCAGCTGCTTCTGCTCCTCTCCAGCCTCCTCCATGCCAGGCTCCGTCTCTTTCTGTGTTTCGACAAGGCTCCTGACGCGGGGCATTCGCTTCAGATGCATCTCGGAGGCTCCTGGCTGGTAAAGAGCAGCTGCCAAGTGCTCTGGGTCAGCGGGGCTGAGCTGCCAGGGGCCCCTGGCAATGATCTTGGTGCATGGGGTCCAGAGAGGGCTGGGCAAGACCTTCCCTTCACACTCGAGGATGCACACCTGCAAAGACAGAGGTGGGAGGAAGGGAGAAGGACAGAGGGACAGCTATTAATCCAAGGCAATGAGGGGATAAAGTCCCTCCATCGTCTATACCTGTACCAATGCAAGTACTTCTAAAGCATTTCTTTCTTTTTTTTTTTAAATATATTTTATTGATTTTTTTACAGAGAGGAAGGGAGAGGGATAGAGAGTTAGAAACATCGATGAGAGAGAAACACCGATCAGCTGCCTCCTGCACACCCCCCCACTGGGGATGTGGCCAAAACCAAGGTACATCCCCTTGACTGGAATCGAACCTGGGACCTTTGAGTTCGCAGGCCGACGCTCTATCCACTGAGCCAAACCGGTCAGGGTAGCATTTCTTTCTTAAGTACTGTGCAACTATTCTACATGTAATTATTTAGGTTCTTCGAATTTCAAAGTTGGAAAGAGACAGAAAACTCCCTGGCCCAGCTCCATCATTTCGCAGATGGAGAAACTTGGGGCGCAGAGATGTGACGTTAACTTATCCCAGGTGACCCAGCAAGTTAACACAGAACACACGCACTCAACTGTACCCTGTTATAGACTTAGTTGGGTGTTTGGAGTCAAACACAGCACATGAGGGTCACCCATAAAGAAGACTTTTATTTTGTTCTTTTATCAGACTTGGAGGTCAGACTGGCTTAAGAAATTGAGGATGCCAAAGCATGTGGTTAAATCTGCATGGTTATTTTAAGGTCACCAGGGAAATGATCAATCCTGGTATTAATTTTTCACGCCCCCCCCCCGCCCCCACACACTATTCATCACTATCTGTGCTTCATTTATAGAAAATGAAGGTCAAGGCTCTTCGGGATGTAGGCAAGTTGGGCAATCCAGTTCCAGGTAGCCGCGGTTTGCCAAGCCACAGTTTGCCGAGCCACAGTTTGCCGACCACTGATAGGGAAGAGGGATCATCAGATACAGCCCAGTAGACCCACCAGGCTCCTGGAAACTTCTGCTGTGGCTCTGCCTCTCCAGGCATCTCCCACTTCTCATTGGAATCAGCGGCCTAACCGTGATGTTTTCTGACTGGTCCTGGCCTTCGCCCTAGTCCTCCACACTTCTGTCTCTGACTGGATCTCCTAGAAGCCTCTGTCTCCAACTTTTCTTCTCATTTGCTGTTTTGACGTCATCCCAAATTGTCCTCTCTGTGTTTCTGGCCTTAGCCAGATGAAAATCCCACTTGACCCTGACCTTGCCATCATGGTCAGCAGGAAGCTGCAGTCTTTCATCAAACCTTGGAGCTCTTGCCTGGCTTGTAGGGCACGAAGAGCTACTGCTCTGGGCAGGGGCGGGACATCAGAATATTGATGGGGAAGAGGGACCCTCAGATACGATCCAGCAGGCCTGTGTGTGTCCCATAGTCCCGACCTGGGGAGCAAAAACACTCCCTCAGCTGTTCAGAGGGTCACAGATGCCTCTGCGGGTGAGATTTACAAGCCGATGTCTAACCAAGGAATGAGATGTGCAGGCAGCTTAGATCCCACACCCCTCAGGCTAAATCTTAAAAGCCTCTTCAATCCTCCTTCTCCTGCAAGGTTTTGCCGCTTCTGACCCTCACCTCCTTTGGTCACTGCTCGTCTATCAGTCTGTTGGTGTTTCTCTGAATGGCACCTTATTCCCTA